CCAAAAAATGGTCGTAAGTCACTTTTTTCAATGCCTGTGTCAATTCAAACGGTCACTAAATGAATGGTTGTAAGTCAAGGACTACTTCTATCCACGGGTAGGTCCGTCGTGACTTTGAATGGCTGTTAAGCGAGGGATTGTCTGTGGAAAATTACCAATAACAGCAACCAGCTATCTCATTCTGGGGGTCACGAATCCTGCAGCATGCAGGGGGTTGGGCTGGATGACCTCTGAGGTCCCGAGAGAGCCAGTTCCCACTTTTCCTTCCCACCCCGAATCCACGAAGAGAAATGTGTAATTGTTTCAAAATGCCTTTTAATGGGTCGCACTCGGCATCTCCCATCTGGAACCGGTTGTGTTCTTCTCAATTTGTCAGCCTTCCTGCATTTAAATTTGTTCCAGTCCATTTCGGCATGTTTATGACGGCATTTTTTTTTTTTAAAGAAAATAATAATGTTTGTATAAGAATTCTGAAGGCAAAACAAGCAACTTGGGGTGAATTCTTTGGGGTAGTTTTGCAAGATGATGCATTAAAGCTCTTGTTAACGATCGCACTAAGAACAGGAAATGTTCCGGCTCAATTTTTTTCTCTGCTACGGCCATTTCTAAAAGACAGAGAATTTGTGGGAGGTGTCCTTGGTGCTCTCTGAGCCCGCAGGCTTTCTTGCAGACGTTTCATGACCCAGCTAGGTAATATCATCAGTGTTCGACGTGAATGGGGTTTGTGATGAGGAGAAGGGGAGGGTAAGACTGTGGGGTCTTTGGTGCTCTCTGAACTTGGTAGTTTTCTTATAGACCTTTCATCACCCAACTAGGTAACATCATCAATGCTAGAACCTAGAACCTCCCCTCTTCCTTCTAGCCCTGATGATGTCCCCTAGTTGGGTCATGAAACGTCTGCAGGAAAACCACCAATCCCAGAGACCACCAGGGACCCCACATTTCTGTTTCTAAATGTCTTTCTATAACTGACATCACTCTCATCCTCAACACCTAAAATTAGATTCCCTTTTTTTTTTAGGCTCAAGTACAAAATCCAGAAGTGTTTCCAAATGGGGAAAAAAAGCTAAATTCTTTTCTTTAATTAGCGCAATCAGTTTGAGGATCTCTGCCAGCCCCATCACCATCCATTCTTCCATTGTGGAGAAATGAGTTTGCGTTCCCATCATTGTGTATATAAGCCAACGCATCAGCTGATGGTTGCAACGTTGATCTCCCTGTTTAACTCCAAATGGTCTTCGCCTCTTTCTCTCTTTTTCCTCCTCCTTCTTCACCCATCTAATAAATAATGCTTTTATTTGCTGGACCAAACTGCCCTGTCAAAATCGGATAGGTTCAATCGAAACACACGGGTGTGTATTTGCAAGACCTCATGGTGTGGAAGGTGTCCAAAAAACACACGCACAATTCATGCTTTGACGTGGCTGAAAGAATTTTCCTGTCTCCAAAGCTCAGCATCTCTTGAGCTGGTGGCTGTTTTCCTGACTTCAAAAAAGAGGCAAGACCGGCTTTGTTCCAGAAAGGCTGTAATGGTTGACATTCTAGGTACAACCCATTCTGTAAAAGGAATACCTAGAACAGGGTTTCTCGTTCTTGGACACTGTAAGATGTGGAGACTTCAACCCCCACAATTCCCAGCCAGCGAAGCTGAGATGTAGGGGCAGCTTCTCACCGGATGGGGTGGAATGGTTGGACATTCTAGATGTAACAATGTTTCCAAGCTATGGAAGGGATATCTAGAACAATGGTTCTCAATCTTGGCCATTTTAAGATGTGTGGATCTCAACTCCCAGAATCCCTAGCAAGCCATGCTGAGATGAAGGTCCAGCTTTACTCCAGATGGGCTGGAATGATGGACATTCTGGGTCTGAAGAGTTCTAAGTTGTAGAAGGAACATCTAGAACAGTGGATCTCAATCTTGGCCACTTTAAAGAGTGTGTACTTCAACACCCAGAATCTCCCAGCCAAGCATGCTGAGATAACCAAGCTTGGATCCAACTGGTGTGGAGTTATGGACATTCTAGATCCAACACTTGATACCAAGCCATAGAAGGAGTATCTAGAACAGTTTTTTCAACCATAGCCACTTGAAGGCCTCAGCTCCCAGAATCCCCCACCCAAGCATGCTGAGATGAACATCCAACATCTCTCCAGACATCCTGGAATGGTGGACATTCTAGGTCCAACACATAGTTCTAAGTTGAAAAAGGAATATCTAGAACACTGTATCTCAACCTTGGTACCTTTAAGACCTGTGCACCTCAACTCCCAGAATCCCCCAGAGGTTCAGGGCCAGATTCTCTCCCGATGGGCTGGAATGATGGACGTTGAGATGAAGGTTGGCTTGGGAATTCTGGGAGTTGAGGTACAAAAGTCTTCAAGTGGCCAAGGTTGAGAGACGCTCATCTAGAGCCCTTCACCATTGTCCACCCCTCTTTGACTTAATAAAAGATCTCCAACATGAAAGGAACTTCCTTATTTTCCTGAATTATTATTGTTATTATTATCCCAAATCTCTCCCTCAGTTCCTCCTGGTTTCTTCCTGATTTCTCAAGGTAGTCCAACCGACAGATTTGGCCAACTTGAAAGGGGCCCTTGGTTGACGTGCACTGGAAGGAGAATTCCAGTCTGCATCACCTGGAAATTTTTAGTCGAAATCTCACATCCTGGAAGGAGGCCATCTCAAACCACGTTGGACATCCTGGCCAAGAAAATGACAGAGACGTGCTTGTGAAGTCCTACTGGCCTTCACAAGGGAGTCTTTCCCTTAATCGTATTAGCTGGGTTTAATTTATTGACCTTCCTAGTTGAATCATATTTAGTTGGGGGGCTGAGGTCCACCCATTTCTCGGGCCTGGCATCGCCTGGTGGCTGGAAGGAGAAGCCCTGATGCCTTCTCCAGATGTGATCTTTGGAGCAGCAAGAGACGGGCAGTGCCATGCTGGCCCTGCCAGGGATTCCAGCTGTTTCTGCTTTAAGGGACAACATGTGGACGTCAATCTGGAGGGCCTAAGATGGCAGCTGGCTTAGGCCTTGGTCTGTTGGCCCTTCCTTGCTGCCTGAGGTCCATCCCTCCATGTTGGTGGCTCCTGGACTTGTAGGGAGAAGAAGCACCTCAGCCTTGGAAGCCTGAGAACCTGGTCCTCCCTTCATCTTTGGAGCAAAATCTTGATTTAGGCAGGCAAGTCCTGCCTGGGCTTGTG